AATCTATTCGATACGGTTCAATAAAAAATAAAGGCTAAATCATGGCTGTGATACTAAAAGTGTTTGTTAAACCACTTCTTGTGCAAAGTTCGTTTGAAACACAAACATTTTAATCATCAAAACAGTGAAAATGTCAAATGTGTTTCATAAATGAGTTTCCTTCCACTAAACAAGCAACAAAACTGTAGCTGTAACAAAATAATTGAGTAAAATATATCAAAAGTAGTCTAGGCAATATAACGATACAGCAGTACCCAATATCAATACTGTATTATTACATTAAACGATAAGATATATTGATATTTCGATATTTTTGCACACCGCAATGGAGACAAGCAGGTTACAAGTCAAAATGCCTTTGTTAGAGAAAAAAGCTCCTAATGCAAGATAGTTTAGTTCTATGCCAGTTACTTTTATAATAAGTTAATTGCGTCTCCTTTAGCAGTGGGTGTACAAGTGTAGGAGGGTTTCTGAAGTCTGAAGTCTGAAGTTGCTGATGTAATCTTATGAAGAGGCAGGACTGTGAACTCTGCTGTGTACACATCCTGCCATCCCAGCACGATTTGCCACTCCAATCACAACGTGGTGGAGCCAAAAGTACGCTTCAAGGACAAACACCAAATTTAAATTTTCGGTCCACCATGGCAGAATTTCATTTGGTATTCACTTCAAAAATTCATATTAGCAGTTTCAAAAGATGTGGGTCTGAACTTTATACAACCTTGACCAGCAAGTGAAAACACTCTCTGCTTGATTTGGTTTCTAATCTGACAAATATTGAGAAGGATTATTAAGAGGTAAATAAACACAGTTTTCACATAAATAAGAGTGATACAAAATATAACTGTATTGTCAAAAAGAAAACAAAATGAATTGAATGAATTGAATGAGAGCTATTTAATTTGACCAAAAACACAAACTAATGAAATGGAAATTATGCTTTAAACGTTACATTTGTTTTGTTGTAATACTATGCATACAAATAATAAATATATAGCCAAAGTTTGTTCTGAAAATATGTAAAATTCCTTACTTAAAGGTGCAGTGGAGGATCTGTCACCTACCCTGACCCAACCCAAAGATGTTGCTGTGCCTAAAATGTTCCACAATATAGCATTAAACGTATGTGTCTCCATGTAGGCAATCAAGTGCTATGAAGTTACATGTCAGATCTATGGAGAACAAGGATGTACAGTATGTTTTTCAAGGTATTTTAGAACTGTGAAAACATTTAATTTACTAAATTCAAGCTAGATCAGTATAAATTAAATGTGTCAGCCACTTGATTATGTAAAACAATTGGTGTAGGACGTTTTTCATCTTACTCCTTTTGAGCACCAGGACCCAAATATGCACATGTACATATCTTTTATCTTTTTTTATTTTTTTTTTTTTTTATTTTTTTGTTGTGTTGCTGATTTTGTTTTACAGAAGAATGCAATACTGTGGAACATCCCAGAGCAAAAACACAGCAATAACATTATAGAGGGAAAAAAAAGACACAAAAGACAAGATAAACTCATTTTTTTTGTATATAATCTATAAGGCTGCAACTATAGACAAGTCAGAGAGCAGTTTTTTGATTAGTCGATAGTGAACTAATTATTTAAAACATAACGCATGACTAATTGGACTCAAATTTAACCTGTACCTAATATACGCCAAATGGAGGCTTCTTGATAGAGAATACAGTAATTAGAAACAAAGAATATTATCACTGAAAAGGGTTTATTTTTCATTTGTTTTCCCTGTGTCATTTGAAGCCTTGTATCTTGGTAACTTAGTACTAGACAGTTTTAACAACTCAAACAAGAGATTATTCTTTATTCTAATGGCAGCAAGTAAAAAGGCAATAACTAGGAAGTGGCTTAAACCTGAGCGAATAACAATGGATGAAATATATGGACTGATATTGTGCAAGAGAGCTACACGATGGAAAAGTTTTCATTTTTATTGAATTATTTTTAGTTATTTATTATTATATTATTATTATTATTATTATTTTATTTTTGATTTTTCAGATTTTATTACTTGTTGACAAGATATGGTCTAAATGGACAGAGTATGTTAAGCCGGTGAGATCAGACTTCATATAAAACTACTTCATATTTGCAATGTTTTATTAATTTGTGAAAGAGGTTCCTTGGCTCACCAACCTGTTTTGAGTTTGTGTATGTTTTTAAAAAATGTAAAAGCAGGAACGTGTGATCTACTTTTTCAATAAAGAGTTAATTTGAAAAAAGAAAAAGGGTTTAATTCTGGAGTAGTCATGATTACACTTATTATTATTATTAACCATTGTAGCTGCAATAATATACAGTATTCCAGCATGGTGTGTGAGAACAGACAGCACCGCTACATGCCTGCACTGTGCCATGTTTATTCCCGGTTCACTGGAGTGGATAAAGAGGCGAAGACATTATTGGATTCATTTCGCACAACAACTGTCCCCATAAGCTTAGCACACTTCCTCAACAGCTTCTGCACTTGGCACCAGTTTGAAACAACAGCTCGCCGAGTGGCTCTACAGAGGACTTTTTACTGCTCCGCCTTCCTTTATGGCGTTCAATTATGACCGAGTTTCCGCCGCTTAACTCTCCTTATTTAGCAAATCCATTGTTGGCAGCTGGAAATTTAGCTTTAGCATGTCACATACACAGTTATACAGACTGTGATGGTGTTTACACAAGTAGGCTCTGAAATTGGTCAGCCATTACACAAAATATTATGTTAATTCTGTCTGTGTGAACAATATAGTTTCTGGCTGCTATAGTATTTCTGCCCAGCTTGAGACAGCTGTTGACCATAACTGCAAGGGAACAGATTACGAAGTGGAAGCACCTTTCTAATCACCATTCACAGGATTTGCTTTTGATAAACACTAAAAATAGACAGAAATACAACTTTTTTTGCATGCTGGTCAATATGGTTTGTGTCAAATGATCTTAAAGTGGAACTAAACTCTAAATCAGGGGTGTCCAAACTTTTTTCATCAAGGGCCAAATATCTAAACACAGACAAAGCAGAGGCTGATCGAGGGCCGTAGACTGGTGCTCAATACAGTGAATAATTGAAATATGTGAATGTTTAACACTTTAGAATGAGCCATCAGTCCTTTATTCACTCTAAGATCCTTAAAACTACACACTAAATATTAAACATTAGCTTTATCAAGGTAGATTTAAAAAAAAAAAAAACTTGCAGTAAAAAGTTAATTTTTATTGATGTAAGGTAATTTGGGCCAAGTCACCTGGAACCCTCACCTTTGGCCCACGTGCCGTAGTTTGGACATGCCTGCTCTAAATCGACTGTTATGTAACTAAAAAGTGTACTGTATATGATGTTTTTTGTTTTGTTTTGGGTTTTTTAAACATTTTTAGTCCAAATTAGGTCAGCTTTAAGGTTTATGGTCAAAAATGTGTAAAAAAAAAAAAAGCTTGTGGTCACTGTTAGTTTCAAGTAGTTGGTGACCTCACATAAGACTGCCCAGATTACAACCTCCTGACTGCAGGGGCGGAGTTTAAAGTGTGGATACCTGTTCAACCATTCACGCTGATCCTTATAACTCCAGACCCTGCCCCTCCTTCCTCTTGAAAGCCGATTTATAGATCTGCGTCGACTCAACACACACTGCCACCGTTGCCTTTTCGCAGTCGTTTTTGATTTATGGATCTGCGTCGAGGTCTACGTGTACTGCGAAGTAATTCACTGCCACAACACTAGGAGGTTAGGATTGTGTTCTTGTATAAAAAAAATTAAGAAGCAAAGCAGAGTACCAGAAATTAGGGATGTAACAATAACCAAAATTTCGTGATAGTGTATCGCCAAAAGTCTCACAATAATATCGTGGGCCATCACAATATATCAAATCACAAGTTTATTTGCTTGTATACATTGTTGTGCAGCAATACAGAGGGAACTACACAGACCATGATCCTTTGTGCTGTTTCAGTCCAATCTACATGTTGAAATAACACTTTTAAAGCACTTTTAAATGTTAACTGTTTGGATTATAACGAGAGAAAAGTAGCATATCCACAATTTATTTAGCCTACATAAAATATTGCAATAAATATCTTACCGTGAGATGCATATCGTGAAAATATCGTATCGAGAGAAATGGATATTGTTACATCCGTACCAGAAATGTATGTAAAGTGGATGTAGAGAAGACCAATCACAGCTCTTATTGTCTGTGTCTGCAGACGCTCTGAGGAGGGGGTTCACGGCGACGCAGATTCTACGTTGCAACGCAGACGATTTGACGCATGACCATAAATTGGGCTTTACTCTTCAGGTACTGCCCAGCTCTATTTGAATTTTTGGATGGTTAATGTGTTTAGTGCCAATTTAAATTCCATCTGACTTTTTTTTTGTGTGTTTATAAACCCCAGTGGTCTAATATCTACATTTGCTTTATCTATCAACAGTGATGATACGTCTTGGCCTATTCAAAATGTTAAGACTCCTTGTCCTGAAATTGTTTGGTTTTAAAAACACACCTCCAAAGCAGTCACATAATCACTGAAACTGTCACAGATGAATTCTGCAGTTTCATGATTTTCCACTCTGTGTCGAAACTGGATGAAGTTCAACAAAGAACAAACACTTCTAAAATAATCGCGCAATCAAGTTAAGATTTAGAAAATAAATTTTGTTGGCTCTAAATTGGGATTTTTGTTATTTTTTTTAATATTTTTTGTGTGTCCTGAACTTGAAATGAAATGTAAAAAAAAAAAAAAAAAAGTAGAAAAGCGAGTATTTTTGTCAACAATCTCTCTGGGACAAATTGTGCCCAACTTGTTACAAATGTGTTTGAATATGCTTTGATATTTTGTTACGGATTTTTAAGATTGAAATATGAAAATCAAAGCGTAAAATCTGTACAGCTCGTAAACTGTGGTGTAAATGCTTTTGGTTTTTGTTCTGTTGTTACATTATCGGCAGCTAGGTGGAGCCCGAGTACACGCTGACAACGGCAGTCCACATCCGAGTTTTTCCTCTCACCTTTCACAGCTCTCAGAAGCCTCGGTACGAGCCACGAGCACGACAGCCAGTGCGCTCAATTGGCTTGTCATAGCCGCTCACACCGTGCAGTTTTTGGACACTTTTTTCTTCTTTTTTCCGGAGCATTTACCCTCCCCATTGCCTCACCTTTGACAAACCTCACGGATATCCACGCTTGTTGGAGAGGAGAGTTCGTACGCGCACCGGAGGACGTGTGTAAAGGGATGTAAAAAAAAAAGGGACACTGTGCCGTTGGATACGACAGAAAAAAAGCCGGTGAATTCTGTGGAGGCACCGTACGTAAGCTGGAGGCGATTTGACGAGGATTTGTACGAACTGTTTGGGAAAAAAATCTCTTCTAATAACCACTAAAGGGACGTTTATAAGAGAAATTGCCACTTTGTGAATGAAAGAACGCGAGCTTTAACCGCATTCGCTGCTGGAGGTTGATTTTCCCAAAGCAAGGTAAGTGTTGGGCATGTTTTTACGCGCATTCACGCACCATCCGCACTGTGCCATATAATAATAAAGCTTTGTTTTATTATTATTTATTTTTTTAATCCCTCCCGTGGCGCGTTGATGTGTGTGCTCTCCCGCCTGTAATGTCTTGGCATGCACAAACACTCCACTGTTTAATTACTCGAAGAAGCGGCGGCCAATCGACGCTTTCAGGTGCAGTCCGCCGCCGATCACAAACGTAATATCGATAACCAATGTGAGAATTTCAATTTCCTGTTTGGACTAATTACGCGCTCATTGGGGAGAGCTGGATAATAATGCGCTAATGTTGTTGGGGAGCGAAGAAAGATGCGGTAATGATGAGAAGTTTGATTTTTGTCTAATTGGAGTTCAAGTTTCTAATTTGATTCAGTGATTTTTACGTTTTCTGTTTTCTTGTTTGGAATGATCTGTTAGCTGCGTGTCCTTAGAAGCCACGGTGCCTGTTTCATTGTACTGGCCATGCGTATTTCTTTCATACATTTGATGCTTACGGTATAGAAAGATGCATTTTGAGCCTTGGAAACCATTCTCCATATTGCAGGCGTGTACTGTATTTAAATTTCGTCATTTTTGGCTGATGGAAAGACGATTTTTTAACTCAGTTGTTCACAGTTGTGGGGCCAGCAACGCTTTGATGTGAGGACACTCTTTCAACATCAAAATCACTGAGAAAGGTAACTAAGCCAGTCCTATTGCTTTGAATGAGAGCCGCCTCTGCTCCTTTTTACGCACATGTCCTTTATTTGACAATATGGACTCAGCTTATTTGAAAAATGGAATAGTGTGTGAAGGCTTCAGGCGAATAAAAAAAGGCATGGATGTGATTGCAGAAAACTGAAATTGACCAGACCTTCGCCAAGGCAATGGTTAATATCTTGCAATGTAAAAAACCTAAACTGAAAGTAAAAGATCTATTCTAACTGACCCACAAAACTCAACAAAAGATAAAGAATTTTCCCCAAAAAAACTAGATGCATTTTTGAATCTCCAGTTTTTTCCTGTCCACTGGAACAATTTATTTTACATTTACATTTGTTGGAGTGTGAGTGTGTCTGTCTTGAAATTGTAAACAATAATCTAATATGTAGAATTAAATACTAAATATTGAACTTAACCCCTTTAGCTTTACTTCTATGCCCTGTAAAGTCTACTGAAGCCAAACAAGAATAAAGCAATTATCGTATTTTCACAAACTACTGTCCCATCCCGTCAGGTACCTCACCAGATGCTGCACCCAGATTATAATTCCTCCAGGAGCGGAATCAAAATGAGACTGAGACAAACAAAGAGCAGGTTGACAGCAGCGTTTAGTCACAAAGCATCAAATGTCCCCAGGAGTTTCTCAGGAGGAGAGGAAGTCGGGAGTTATACTGTGTGTGTGTGAGGGAATGTTGGATTATAAATGCAAATATAATCCATATGTAGTGCAGCAGTTTTTGGTGAGATGCAAGAAACTGCTTTGAAATATTTTAAAGGTGCTCTAAAGACAAAAGTGTAGTTAAAGGATCAAATCAATCTTTATTTATAGACTGCTTTTCATACAAAAATGCAACACAAAGCGCAAAAGGATCTTCAAATATTGTGTGTATTACAAACTTAGCAAACTTTTCTGGCCACCTGCTTGTCTCCATGGTTCTGCTTTGCCTGGAATGTTCCACAGCATGACACTGAACTTATCCATTTTGCATTTATTAAATTACAGTTTTTATTGCGACAAAAATACCTTGGAACAACATGCATTATTACTTCCTGTGTAGGGACTCGCCTGTTCACAGAGTTGATTTGTAGCTAGGCCTCATGGAGTCTCCCGTTTGACTGCATGAAGATAATGTCAGACTGTGGAACATTCCAGGCAAGAAAAGTTACGTAGTGCACTTTTAACTTTAATACAAATCTGTCACCTTCATTATTGTGCTTTGAATTACTGGAAAGAGGATTTAAAGGTGCATTGTGTCACTTTTCTCATGGAGGGCCTGTCAAATTGTTTATAATGTGTGACTGTATGGCATTAAACCTTTCTATTTTCAAGTTACAGGTCAGATCTGTGGATAGGCGAGCCCGCTCACAGTCAGAATGCTTGTTTTTTTCTAAGTATTTTTGTGCTATAAAACCATCTGTGATTGAATAAATGCTTAATGCCAGACTGTGGAACATTCCAGGCAAGAAAAGGATTTAAAGGTGCATTGTGTCACTTTTCTGGTCGAGAGAGAGTCAGATTGTCTAGAATGTGACATTGTATGGCATTAAACCTTTCTATCTTCAAGTTACAGGTCATATCTGTGGAAAGGCGAGCCCGCTCACAGTCAGAATGCCTGTTTTTCTAGGTATTTGCACTATAAAACCACCTGTAATTGAATAAATGCTTAATGCCAGACTGTGGAACATTCCAGGAAAGAAAAGTTATGCAGTTCACTTTTAACTGTAGCGCATCGTACTTTGTCTTATTGGAAAAAGGATTTAAAGGTGCATTGTATCATTTTTCTGGTGGGGCCTGTCAGATTGTATAGAATGTGTCAGTGTATAGCATTAAACCTTACTAGCTTTAAGTTACAGGTCAGATTTGTGGAATGGCGACCCCGCTTGCAGTTAGAATGCCAGTTTTTCTAGGTATTTGCACTATAAAATCACCTGTAATTGAATAAAAGTAAGGCATAGCTGCTTAATGCCAGACTGGAACATTCCAGGCAAGAAAAGTTACGTAGTGTACTTTTAACTTTAACGCAAATTTATCACCTTCATTACTGTACTTTGAATTATTGGAAAGAGGATTTAAAGGTGCATTGTATCACTTTTCTGGTGGAGGGCCTGTCAAATTGTCTAGAATGTGGCATTGTATGGCATTAAACCTTTCTATCTTCAAGTTACAGGTCAGATCTGTGAATAGGCGAGCCCGCTCACAGTCAGAATGCCTGTTTTTCTAGGTATTTGCGCTATAAAACCACCTGTAATTGAATAAATAGAAGGTATGATTGTTTAATGCCAGACTGTGGAACATTCCAGTCAAAGAAAAGTTACATAGTGCACTTTTAACTTGAACGCAAATGTGTCACCTTCATTACTGGACTTTGTCTTATTGGAAAGAGGATTTAAAGGTGCATTGTGTCACTCAGGTGGAGGGCCTGTCAAATTGTCTAGAATGTGTTACAGGTTAGATCTGTGGAAAGGCAACCCGCTCACAGTGAGAATGCTTTTTTTTTTTTTTTTCTAGATATTTTTGCGCTAGAAATCCACCTGCAATTGAATAAATGCAAGGTATATAGCTCAGGCGTGGGCAAACTACGACCCGGGGACCATATGCGGCCCTTTAATCTTTTTAATATGACCCGTCTAACTTGAATAATGATAATAAAAATGATAATTTAGTGTTTTAAAAGTAATTTCAGTAAATAGCAAAAATATTTTGTTTTATGGGATATTTCAATTTCTACATATCCCATGTTATTATTTTCTCTTATGAGGTGGATTACCAAAACACTCCATGCATCTGCTCCTGGTCCGGCCTTTGTGGCACTTGAGTCAAAAAGTTTGCCCACCCCTGGTAGAGCTGCTTAATGTGATACTGTGGAACATTCCAGGAGGAAAAAATGACATCACCATAGAAACAGGAAAGCAGGTGACGGACCCCCAACCAAACCAGCTGATCACGTGTTTAAATTGCATGTTGTTTTTTTTGTCTAGAGCAAAACAAGAGATAATTGTTTCAACCTCAATCAACGTAGTAGTACCCAGCATGTATTAATTTCAGCTCGTCAATATAATGGCTGCAATCCTTCACTTGTTTGTTGTAATGAGGGTCGCCTTGGTTCCATTGTATTTGCAGATTTGGTGTAATTTAGTGTTCTCACCGGGATGCTTTCTTCGAAGTGTTGCTAGGACTCATTTTCGGCTCATGTTTAGCGTCACCTTTGACCCCCTTTAAAGTGTTGCAGCTTTTTCACTGGGTGCCACCTGTGCTTCCCTCCGCCGCCTGTTCTATTGATTTACACTGGTTTTAGCCTTTTGGACATGATTACGCACCCAGATCAATCTAATTTGTCGGAGCGGTTTGAATTATTTTGGCTGTTGATTGTTTCATTAGGTTGATAAATGGCACAGCATCCTGGATAATGTGAGGTAGTGACTCTTTGATCTAATGCTCCCCTGAGTGGGTTAAATAAAAAATAAGTCTTTGAAAGCACTACTTCAAATACTCAAAGTGACTCGTGACTATTTTGGAGAATTAAATTTTTCTAGTCAAAAATTTCATCTCTCGGTCATAAAAAACGACTGAATTGAAGTCGAATGCCAATAATTTTGCTTCTACAACTGTATAATCATTAGTCTGTTGTTCTTATTCTCAATTATTTTGAATTTAAGTTCAAATTATACACTCTTTTAATTAAGTTGAATTACTCTTTGTACTTGTGCTTAGGCCAAGTAAGTCTCAAGTCTTTGATCTCAAGTCCGAGTCATGTCCCAAGTCAAATACAGGCAAGTCCGAGTCAAGTCTTGAGTCACTGGCCCATAAGTCCAAGTCAAGTCCAAGTTGTCTGCTTTGAGCTTCAAGTCATTTCAAGTTTTGAAACCAAAGTACCAAATATAGCTTAGATTTTTGCAATTTATATGACTTTTAAGATAAATTGTACTTAAAAAAAACTTGTAGTATATTTATATATGAGTATTTATAGAGTATATATAATAGTAGTAGTAGTAGAAATTAATTTAGTAAATTTTTCCTTTTTAAATGTCTTGACAAAGTCTGTGTGAATCATTAGTCAGAATAGAAAGAATTCAGATTTAAAAGTGTTTCTCAAGTCACAACTTGCAAGTCCTCACCTCTGATAATTACTATATTGACTTATCATTATATGAAACCTAGAACAATATTTTTGGGAAGTCAACTGAGGCAGTTTATTGAGTCAGTGGCATAAATTACTTTCAATATTATCGTTAATTCAGCAAAATATCAAACTTCAAAATTGGTT